CAATATCAGAATTAATTAATTGATTGAATGAGTTAGGTAAGGTTTCAGTTCATTTCATATCATTAAATTTCATTTCTTATAATAAAAAATACTAAGTACTAAAGACTTGGCTGTATGGGCAGTTCCCTTTGCCTACCAGAATGGGTGAAAAAAAACTGCTTACATTCTACGGTTGGCGCCATTTTCCGAAATTTTCTTTGCGAGTTTAGTTGTTTTTTACACAAAATGAGTAATTTCGACCTAAATTTTTTTGAATTAACTCCACCGGAACTCAGTATAATTGCACAAAATGCTTCGGAGAACATTTTACCGGAAAAGTCAAAAATTCGCTATATATCTACATACGATGAATTTATTGCGTGGAAAGAAGAGAAAAAAGCAAATAATTTTTCAGAAAATGTTATGTTGGCATACTTTTCCGAACTCTCAGCAAAATTAAAACCTTCTACGTTATGGTCAAGGTTTTCGATGATAAAAAGTATGCTGAAAATAAGGAACAACGTGGATATAAGTCAATATCCAAAATTAAATTCTTTCTTAAAACGACAATTAGACGGGTTTACCAGTAAAAAGTCGAAAATATTAACATACAACAATAGTGAAAAAATATATGAACCAGCGGTCCCAAAAAGGAAAATCCGACCGTTTTTTTCCAAATTTCCAAAAAGGGAAGTGAATAAACAAATTTGGTAATATGCCAAAAGAAATAGCTACGTTTCTTGGTCTGCCGGATGCTGAGTGTTATACTGGGCACAGCTTCAGAAGGACCTCTGCTACATTATTGGTAGATTCAGGAGCCAATTTGACGTCCTTAAAGCGACTAGGTGGTTGGAAATCGGACAAAGTTGCAGAAAGCTATATTGGTGATTCATTAAACAACAAATTTGAAACTGGGAAAAAGATCACACAATCCATTAATTTAAGGTCCAGTCCGTCTCCTTCACATGCTGAAGAGAACGTTCGTCCATCTACGAGTACCTTCGTTGATAATGATAATTCATCAGATCCAATTCCATCAACTAGCAAACGCCATTGTATGACAAATATACATGAACAATCATACGAAATTAATAATAGTTTGTCTCAAACAGTAAATATGCAACGTAAAACTTCCCCAGCTAGTATAAAAAACTGTACCAATTTCAATGTATATGTGAATTATAACTTTTATAAGAAATAAATGATTAGTTAATTGAGTTTATTGTGTTTTTATAATTTGATTAAATTGCTTCATTTTTTCGCAACTGTATTAAAAATAGTCGTTCAGTACACGTACGGAACCGTCATTGCAACTCGTTCCGACTGTCAACCCTCGCCTTCGGCTCGGGTAGACATTTGTCGGAACTCTTTGCAATGACAAACATTCCGTACTAGTAATGAAATATACTATTTCGCATTATACTATGAACCTGTAATAAAATCTCTTTGGCTATATACCATGTGTATCTGGCTGGTTTTGGTATCATTAAAAATTTTAAATTTTGAAGAAGGATATTTCAAATTAGAAAAATGTGTGATTTTCATTTGTTTTTCTTATTGTCAAGTTGAGTGATGAGAAAAAATGCTACACAGGTTGCATACATTCTTCGAAAGTGCGGTCATTTTTTACCACACGCTCCCATACATAGCACCGTGCGTATTCTTTACGAGTTTATTTTACTTCGAACGAACTTTCTTGCATTTGCTTTTATTCTTTACTTTTTTCACTTTAATACTAAAAAGAAAACGAGACTGGCCGCCATTTGAGGACGCACGCCATTGTCTAAGAAAAATATTATACTGTTTTATTATTTATTTTTTAAGCATTTAACTGCTAGATCTAAAGAAAATTTTACTAGAAAAAGTCCAGGCATCCCGTCTGCTGTTCTACTTCGCTTATTGCGGAAGTGAGATGACTCGAGAGGGCTCCGATTGCAGAGAGGGTGTCGTGATGAAATAAAATATTTTTGTCAGAATTAAAATATTATATAAACTTTATAAAATCACTGATGTAATGAAAACTGGCCAAGTCAAATGTAACCTACTTTAAGATCTTACATTTTTAAATAACAGCAATTTCCCAATAAAGCAAAGAAATAGAGTTTAATACTTGTTCATAATGTTATTTTGTTCCTATAAATACATATTTGTATTTTGCATAGAACTTGGCACTCCTTTTTTACATTTATGTTTTTGGTAGTATACAGATTACCGAAATCGAGTTTGACAGCATGTAACAAAATGGTTAAGTAGTTCTTAATTAACTAAACCCTATTAACTGAAATGCTAACGTAAAAGGCAACAGAACAGTTGCTCTAGGAGTGATTGAAATCTATTTATTAGTATACAAAGTTTGGCTATTAATTGGTTAATTCAACGTTAAATAACTTAAAGTTTTGTAAATTACTTTTTTCAGTGAGAGACTGAAAAACATTTTGATATAATATATTCTTTAAAAAATATATAAGATTTAACATTTGAAAAATGTACTGTTTTCTCTGGTTAATTTCCCGTCTAATTAAATATATCATTGGGAGTCTTATCATCATACTAAGTTGAGTGTAGTGGGATCAGAATATTAGGAAAACGAAAATGGGCGCGCTGTGCCAGGTCATGCCCATGGAGTCGCCACTGGACGGGATACGAGGTGATTAAAACTACGGAAATTGGATGGAAAACGACAGTGCTATCACAATGTAAAGCTTTCAGTGACGGTCATGTAGCTTAATATAAGTTCTTGTGCAAAAAAACGATTGCATGTGACTCTCGGTAGTTTCACAATAAACACGTGTATTGCAAACTTAGCTAAGTCTCTCTAATCTCTACTCTCTCTACTCTAATTAATCTAATCATAATCTTAGAAACTACCGAAAAAACTACGCGAAAATACAAAAACCTGAAGAAAAAGGGTAAATCGAATCACAAACATACGTTCATATGTACACTTAAGAATCTCACTTTTATCAGAGAAAGGAAATGAAATAACGAAGTTTGTGCTTCTTCAAGTTTATTATTTCAGTCATTAAAGCCCAATGCTTTTTTTCTTTAGTGTTATTTTGGTGGTGTTTAAACCAATGCAGAGGAAGATGACTACAGCTTCACAAAAGGTTCATACCGAACTTAACTCAAAATTCTGTAAGAAATAAAGAGCAAATTATGTACCTACTTTTTTATTTTTTTCGCTTATTCTTCTTATTGTATTAAAGATAGGAAAAAGTGACATAGTCACGCAAAAAAATAAATACACATTTTTGGCACTATGTCCCTTTTATTGTCAGGTTATCTACTAATTTACATACATTGTCTGTACAGTCAGCAAGTTCAATTGTGCTTAATTATACGAAAACTTAAGTACTCTCTAAGCAGGTGCAGCATGAGATAAATATTTTACTTATATAACTAACTAACGCCCGGTTTCTGAAAGGCTTGTCAAATAATTTATCAATTAACATGCTTATCAATTTAACAGCAGTATTAAATCAATTTGAGTTTCTAAAACGAAGATTAGTTAATATTCTTGATAATTTCAATCCGTCGTCACTTCATACAAAATAAATTATGACAGTAGCTAAAGGTGATTATAAATTAAAAGCTCGATTAGCTAACACAGTAGCAACTCAACTGACAGTTTTTTTTTCTTTAGTTAAAAGGACCTTTGTATTCTGTACATATAAAAGGCAACCGATACTGACAGATCTATGCACAGGTGGCTTATTATGATGTCTTATTGGAGAACTCATGAAGTTCTTAATAAGAACTGATTTCTATTTCAATTCAGTCGAAGTCTGAGTACAATCACTGCCGGATTTAGGGGAGGGCAACCGGGGCGAAAGCCCCGGGGCCTCCACAAACGGGGGCCCCCACAATAGAGACTTCGGAAAAAAAATCTTTCAAATTCCAACTAGTAAACACTAGTAACATCATCATACATCTTTTCTATGTAGGTACATCTAACATACATGATTATTTGATTATGTTAATCTTAAATAAAAGAAATCATTGATCTATATTTGTTCACTCCAATCAGGCAATCAGTGAAATATCAAAATCTCAAATGGCCCCGATAAGCACTTCCAATTCACTACCCATCTTGAGGGAGTACCCCAATCGCTTAATGGCTGAGTGGGGTGGTACTTGCCCGCAGGGCCGCATTTAAGGCAGGGCAGGGGGCCAATCGCCTAACTGGATTGCTGTGGAAAACGCTATCGCTTACGATTTCATTTTGTTATTTCTAGCCCCCTGAGGTTTTCAAATGCCTCGCGCTCTTTTTTTTTCTTTTCCATTGGTAATAACAATGTTAAAGAAAATGAGCGTGAGGTATTTCGGCAGTTAGAAATAACAAAATGAAATCGTAAGCGATAGCGTTTTCCAAAGCAATCTGGTTAGGCGATTGGCCCACAGGTGGGGCTGCGGTCCAGGGGCCTCCACAACAGCTTAAGAAATAACAACATTTCGATGGGTTAACAAGAATACAAATCCTAAGTGGCCCGGGACCTCCACAATCCTAAATCCGGCCCTGAGTACAATGTTTCAACTAAAAGGTGGTATCCGATTTGTGGCGTCACGTTCCTTGTTTATTGAAAATGTTATAGGAAACTAACCCAAATATGACAGCGTTAGCAACTGACATAATTAGTAAATTTTTCAACAACGTAACATAACAACTCATATTAGACAGACTATAAGCAATCGGCTTGGTCATTCATTCATCTGCGACGACGATGTAACAAGCTCCTCAACCTAAACTGAATCGGAAGACAAATAATACATAGTACAGAAGGTAATCTTATGTAGTTAAATAAATTTCCATGTTATGAATAATTGTATCTTTAATATCTAAATTAATAATCATATCTTTCAAATGTAGAATTAATTTTGAATTTAGAATATGAAACTTCATGAACGCACAAACGTCAAAACGGCCATCATACTGCACAAGCAAGCACAAAAATAGTTTGAATTGATGGCAAATCTAACGCAACCGAAGTCACGGGAAAGAGTTAGTTAAATTTATACATATCAGTCCCATTTTTTAATCAAACTTTGCTGTGAATTTCTAAAGCAAAAAAGCCTCTTTGGAGGTTGGGTTCTGCAAGAAAGCAAAGGAACAGCCCATAATTATGTTTATCGATTTTCAAATCCGCAACTAATTTGTCTCTTATGTCCGAATTCCTTACACATTACATCAACAAATGTTGGACATCGTCAATTTTTCCAGGGAGTTAACTTTCTTCATTATATACCCAAATTTGTTTAATGGAACATGTCCGGATCGAAGCCTATGAGCTGTTGCTGTTACAGTTAAACAGTCAAAACGAACGTTGGTAAACCAGGGTGGATACATGAGGAAGTTCAGCTGTAAAGTTCTATAGATACCCAATTCCTGTTTCTAAGTTCCTTTCATCAAAGTATGTGTTCCGCCGATTGTGTCATTCTTTTTTAAATATAAGGATATACTTTAAATAACTCGCAGCAACCTGCAGTGATTGTCCGTCCCTTGAATTAACTGTTAAAATTAGATTCAATGGCTTTTGTATTTTATTTTTTGCTGAACAACCTGTCAGAAACCGGGCGTATGTATACCTCGAAGTTTTATTTCAACAATAACAATAATACTGGTATTAGCAAACTTTTAGTTATTAAATGACTAACAGATGAATCGTCATCAGCGTCTATATCGGTGGTAGTGCTATCCAGTGATACTTCAGTAGTTTCTGTAGATGGTAACGTAGTGGGTTCTGTTAGTGGAGGGTCTTCTAGTTCACCGTCTCCGGCGAATACTCTTCCCCAAATTGCGAAACTATACAGTTCTCTATCATATTTTTCCAAAAACAAATTGTAAACAGTCACTTCTTCGTTTTTGTCTTCACTATACGTGTAGTAGTCAGGTTCTAAGGGCATAATAGACGTGTCCAGGGAGAGCGGGAAGTAAACTGTATCTCTTGATTCTAACTCTGCATCAATACGTGGTGTTGGTACGGTAGCAATAATGTTAAGCTCGTGAAAGATTGCCGTAGATTTCGGCGCGTATTGAGGAAACCTGAAAAATGATTAATTTATTAGTGACTAATGGTTAACCATGTGAACTGATTCAGAGTTCCGCTATCGAATTATCCAAAAAAATCTTCAAAAACTTCTCCCAATGTGTGAAACAATTTGATTTGATTGAATTTGAGTTGGTGTTTAGGCAAGGCAATAAGAAGTTCTGTCTGCACCGGAACGTCGCATCATCTTTCTACAAGTAGGAGCAGCTGTGACCCGCGTGACGAAAAATGCCCCCTATACTTCTCTCCACGAAATTTAAATTAGTAAGCACTCAACTTTCTATCGCAATTTTTCGACTCATATATTTTATTTTGTAATTTTATTCATAATAAACGCCAATGCGCTTATACAATTATAAGCAAAACTGAGCTTTATTAAAGACGCAAATCATCAATGCATTAACGACGAAAACAGTTGGGTACCTTAAAATGTAGTCTTTGTTTCCTCGTCTGGTTTTAATAAGTTGGGTGATTGATTTTGCTCTAAGTTCAAAACAGAGATCTATAACATATGACTAGCGATAATGTATCTATTATTTAATTGACACTAATAACTATAGCACCTGTTTGGGAAGAAAACAGACCTCTGTTATGTAGACATGACAGAAGAATTCCGCGGACTATTTCTGACTTCCAAAGTTCTTCTATAGAGGCGTAAGGAAGAATTAATGCAAGCGGGCCAGATGAGAATGGCTGTTGTCGCAGGCAAAACTGCCGCACCAGCAGTATTTGTATCCGAACTCCACTACCACAAAAGCAACAGATGGGATAGGGTCATTTTCCTTGACAAGTTACCTAAGATAAAAAGCTAGTTGTAGCTGGTGTGGAATTAGCTTTCCTCCTCCAAGCACCCTAAATAGGTAAAGTGTGGGTAAGACACATTGACCAAACCTGCGATGAAATAAAAAAACTGAATCAGCTCACCGTCTCCCGCAAGTGTCGGGGGTATCTCCAGTGCACGATATGATGGAGCAGAGTCGCGTGCCACCCGTGACAAAACCGGAGTAGCTGCGGATACCGTCGAACACTGCAGCACGATACTGGTAGCGCTGGAAGAGAGAACGAAGAGATTTGCCATTAGTATTTGTTTGCGTCAAATATGGCTGCACTCGGATGCCAACGTGACGATAATATTGGTTTGGCAAAAATAGGACTCAATTGAATGAGTGACAAGTCGCAAATAGTGCCGATATAGCAGAGCAGAGCCGCGTGCCGCCCGTAACAAAACCGGAGTAGATGCGGATACCGTCGAACACTGCTGCTCGATATCTGTAGTGCTGAAGAAACGGACAGATTTCCTATTAGCATTTGTTTGTGTCAAATATGGCTAAACTCAGATTCCAACGTAATGATGATATTGGTTTGGCAAAAAAGGACATTGAATCGGTGAAACAAAAGTGCACGATATGACGGAACAGAGTAGCGTGCTATCCGTCCGGAAAGGCAGGTTTCTCATAAGCATTATTTAGCTTAGTCAGACATTGCTTAACTCAGATGCCAGCTTGATTAATGATATTGTTTTAGCAAAAAATGGTCTTTAATAAAGGGATGACAAAATCTTATTTCATAATATCGAACTATTATTACCTAATATTCTATCGATGTAAAACCAGTGCATTGACATCCTTTAGAAGGTAGACCAGGGGCCTAAAAAAGCGAGATTGCATTTTGAAATTGTTCATTAATAATTATGTTTGCTTTTTTTTATTCCAAATCTTATTACGACAGTATTTTTCATCATATGACCATAAATAAGAAATGAAACAGACAGATTTGTATGTATTGTACATGTATCGTATTATTTATACCATTAAATCAAATAGAAGAATATAGGTACCTAAACGAAACTTAGTAAAGATGTTGATGAAGATGTTTGCATGACGCAAATGTCGCTATTTGAAGATAGAAATATATTTATCTGTCGTGTTGTGTTGCGACGCGATCTGACGCGATCGGTTTCATACATTTAGTACGGTTAGAACTAAACTTGTGTGTCGCGATGTTTTGACAGCGTTATATGAAACACTCTGATGTATCACACAACACGACCGATAAGTGTAGTTCTGCCATGACACTCCCAGATCTTATATTATAGACTGTAGCGAGACCGGCTATATCGATTGCATTAGGGGTTGGGTATAACACAAATGAATTCCCAAAACATATTTAGAAGGCAATTAGACACAGAAATTGATCGTTGTGGAAATCCATGGGGGAGGCCTATGTCCAACAGTGGACGTCTTTCGGCTGAAATGATGATGATGATGAATTAGACACAGAATAAAATTAGAAATATTAGCCGCATTGCCTTGTTCTCTTGAACGAATGTTTCAGTTCTTAAAATACTGTGTATAGAACACACCGATTCACATTATCCTTTTATAGTATTTCACAGAAAATCGCACAGGTGAAAATTTATTAAATTAGTTTCCAATCACATCACGTAAGTTCGTAAGTAACAACCACCACAATTATATCTGCAATAAAAATTAAAAAAAAATCAAAACACCCGACTGCTTAATTATACTTCAAAATAAAACTAAAAAGAAAAAAACAAGTCTACTGGACTTCGTCTATAATTCTATTAATAAGGAACAAAGCTACTTTAACAATCGGGACCCATTAGATATTCAAGAATACATAATATTTTTCAATAATGGGTCCCGTCTGTTAAAGTAGCTTTGTTCCTTATTAACAGAATTATAGACTACTGGACTTGTTTTTTTCTTTTCAGTTTTTATTTGAAGTATAATTAAGCAATCGGGTTTTTTGATCTTTTAAATTTACCTTTTTTATTTCACATTTTTAGTTAGTATTATAAGACGGTATATACCGTAGTCTTGTTACTTCAGTAAGGGAATTAATATCGCGGGAATTATTAAGTACCTTGCGGTGGTCTAAACGATTGATTTATGAAGACATATAGAGACTTTACCAGCGGGTTTAAAGCTACAGATGGGCCTCAATTTTCGCAAAAATGTGTGAAGTTAAATCAATTCGTTACCTATTTAACTAATGTATGTAAATTTTATAGTAAACTAGCACTTATTCAAAAAGTCATCTTTTGTTTACGTTTTTTTTAGTAGTTTAACAGTAAATATAAAATTCATTTACTTTATTCGTCGACTATTAAAAATTGGCAGTGGCTGCATTGTCATGTCAACGTCCGGCTCTAAGATTGTGATATACACAAATGCAGTGACATATCCTAGTCTCATAATTTAATATACCTACATAATTCACAGAAACCCAATATGTAGATGCCAAAAGTTAACTTCAAATGTTCTTAATCGACCTATATACAATACCAATCAATGACGTTTATGTCGCAGGTTGAAGAAAGTAGTAATTCCCGTTTGTTGTTTTGGGCAATGGTGGCAACTGCCTTAGATCGCTAAATTAAATAAATCGCTAAAGCAAAGTTTATAATATTTGATTAAACTAAAGGTGCATAATAAAGGACATTGCTCGTTCCCCATACATTGAATGCCCTAGAACGCCCAGCAATGAGAAAATGCTAGTTGTGTTCGGAATCATTCATAAACTCTAAATAAGCATTTGTTGAGATACGGACAACTTGAGGAACCGTGGCCTACTACAGAATGTATTAGATTTTGAGGTTATAATTATTATACTTAATCATAAAAGATGTACACTTTATATATTCTGAATAGATTTAGTGTTTACCTCTATGTAAGCACTTAAATAATATGCATTAAATGAACATAAAATGCAATTAATAATAAAAATAATAAATGCTTATATTCATATTGATTTATGAGTGTTGTCAGTTGGTACCTATGATACCTGTAGTAAGTAATGATAGATTTCTTTTCAAATGAAATGTTCAGTCTTTCCATTTACCTGTTCCTACAGTTTACTATCGGTAATTAGGTATGTACCTGGTTATCATTATGATTTTCATAAAAATAAACAGATATTACATGGGATAGGAGTATAAACTATCTTTAGATAATTTCAGAAATAATCTTTTCATAAATATAATAGAAATACTAGTAATAAGTATTATTAACTAAGGTACCTAGTTCTATTTTTATGTTGATAAATACCTATGGTCGCCTATATTGCATTACTAAGGTAAACAATCTTGGCACAACTTTTTAACAGAATCACCCATTTAATAATAAAATATTAACGAAGCCAATAAACTATTAAAATAAATCGTTATTATAGACTGAAACCTATTGAATCCAGTTATCAGTTGATTTTTAATGCTGTATTTTCAATAAAAAGGAGTGCCAAGTTGGATGAACAGACTGTAGTATCTAGTAACAGAACTTGTAATTTTTAAACAGATTGTCCGTTTACTATGATTAATTGCTAATAAGTTAAAAAAATAATAGAAAAATAATAGTGAAGGACATTCTTTTGGGCATGCTAGGGCCGATTTCGTCGATGTCCTTTTAATAACGTTAGGTAGAGCACACTAGCAATAGGGAAGATGCAATATTTTTATTTTTGTTTTCATTTTAAAGAATTTTAGTAGAATAAACCACAGATATATTAAAAAATTAAAACATTGTGATTTATCGGAAAAAATGCGGTTTTAAATTGACAATTTAAATTTTCGCGCGAAAACGAACCTATGGGTGCGATGACGTCACTCCTGTCTGTCACTGGTCGTAATTGTTCGTTGCTGGCTTTAAATTTTCATATTTTTGCATATTTTTTCGAATTTCGAAATATTTTTTTGAAAAATTTAAAATGTACTATCCATCAACATCATGTAATCATAACAATACCACTAATATTCCGAAAAAAAGCCGTGTTGACTCATGTTTTGTGCCAATCTACTTCAACAAAGTTCCCAAATAAATTGTTTTTGACTGGAACTTCTGACCCAAAACTGAAAATAAAGTGGTTTCAAGTTGCGAAGAGAAATGACAATTATTCTCCAAAGACCATTATTCGATGCTGAGAAGATCACTTTGACGTAAGTCGGCGAATATACTTGTTATATGCTTAATTAATCTGCTTGTACGTAAAAACGCATTAGTAACCTACCTAATACTTACAAAACCTGTCTATAACATATTTTTAATTTTACAGTTGGAGAATGACGTCGAAAATTAGATAAAGTGTGGCACAATCTTCACATTGGCAGGACTGAACCAAGCTTTGCTTTTCATTTAAAATAACTGTAACACGATAACCTTCTTTACGTACTTTATGCTCCGGAGAACTCGACCTTTTACTGTACATAATTTTCCATCTCTTTTAATTTGGACATAGCCGATTGCATTATCGCCGTAAGATTTGTAGAAGCCGCTGAATAAAATACGAAGTTTAACAACTACGATTTTTACATACCGTAGTAATTTAGTCCCTTTCATTTCTACACTTAAAAACTCTGCACTTTGGACAAAAAAAGTTATAACCATGTCAACGCTAACTCTTGGTAAATTCCTGGAGTCTGCTTTGATAAACGCAACTTTCATTTTTATTAAATGTAAAAAAACGCAATAAATATTCCCATAAAATAATATTTACTTTAACAACCATAACCTCAAAGAAGTTGTCATAACAGGAGTGACGTCACTAAACGCTGATTGGTGTTTTAAAATACGTTCCGTTTCAAGTATTTTTAATTCGTAATAATTGTTAAAAAACAACATTATGTAAAATAAAATCGTTGCAGTGGCATTTCTTTTATATTTTTTTAACATTTTAATCATAAAATTTTCATAAATATTATATATGCATCTTCCCTATTTCATTTATTATCAATTTATAGTTCTCTTTGTAGTTTTTTTTAAAGTGTTGACCAATAACAGGTCAAAGACTGTGATCGACCCTTTTTATTGGTAGTGTAAAGCTCGAATGAAGAGTACTTCCACCTATCAAGCGTGCTGCTACCAGCCTAGTAGGAATTGCAAATAGTGCAATCATGGCAATTATTTTCCAAATATTTATTTTGTATAAAAAAATACCGAATAACGTATCACTGTTAAGCACAAATGCTAAGTAACTTTTACAAATATAATCAAATAAACCTATTTACTTACTTTATTTTTAAATCTTTTTCATCAATTAAATAGGTACTATTATCCTAACTATCTATACTAATATTATAAATAGGCAAGATTTGTATGTTTATAACAAATAATCTGTCAAACTACTGAACCGGTTTTAAATATTAATTCATCATATGGTAGCTACATTATTTATTATTACATTTTTCTTTATTTAAATACATTTTGTCCGAGTGACATAGGCTATATTTAATCCCGATAAAATAAATTTCGCCCGTACAATGCCAGGGTGGATCACTAGAAAGTATAATATAATATTATAGATGCGAAAGTGAGTTTGTTTGTTGCGCTTCCGTGCCCTAATAGCTAAATCGATTATAATGAATTCCCCTATAGAAGTAGATGGGAACTTGGTTCTTAGCTACAACATTGCAATACTTATAGGCGTAGGGTGATTTACCTATAAAACTCTATATTATTTACTTTGAATTTTGCAGAATTATCGTTTATAATTACAAAACCAATATATATAGCGAGCTGATTAATAAATACAGGGATTCCAATAAGTATGTACCTACTAGCGAAAAATGGGTTATTTGTCATTATTTTGTTATAATGGTATATAAATAATTAACAGGCAAGATAATAGAGGAGCTCAATGGCGCCAGTGGTTAGCGCGTTCGGCTGCGATCGTTGAAGTTGAGCAACTTTCGCAGTGGTCGGTCATTGGATGGGTGACCAAAAATTTAGTATCTCGAGCTCCTCCGTGCATCGGAAGGCACGTTAAGTCGTTGGTCCCGGCTGCATCTGCAGTCGTTAGCACCCACCAACCCGCACTGGGCCCGCGTGGTGGGTCATGGCCCAATCTCCCTAAAATCAACATCCATAGGGAAGGCCTGTGCCCCTGCAGGGACATTAATAGGCTGATGATGATGATTAATAAATACAGGGATTCCAATAAGTATGTACCTACTAGCGAAAAATGGGTTATTTGTCATTATATTAAGTAACCCTTTATTTGTAACATTAAGTAATATCGTTAAAAAAACAGTATAGTTTTGGGTTTTTCATTAAAATTCAATAATCATAAATACCTATTATGATAATTTATTTTTCATCATTTAATAGGAAGGAACTGTATCACAGTTTTATTGTAAGTACTTCGTACAGGATCAGATACTGCGAGTAGCCCATTTTTTTCATTTTCGCCGAGGTTTTATCTACGTTTATAAACACCTAAATTAAATGTGTCCTCTTAGTATTTCCGCAGTCTACTCCTATATAGTACACCGCGCTATCACTTTGTCATCGTTGTAACTTTTTAAATATTTGTCGAAATGACATAGTGTAAAAGGCAAAGTTTATCGTTTAAATATCAAAAGCGATAAAAGTATTTGTTTTGATAAAAAATAATTTGTTAATACATAATATGCATTTTGGAAATAGATATCAAATAATATTTTAGTTTTGATTCACTATTTTAGCGGTAATGGCTTACACATTAAAAATAGATATATGGTGTCACGGACTTTTTTGTAGAACTATTTAAGAGATACATTTTTACTCTACATTACATTCATGTAAGTTTTATTGTTTTTCCAGTGCAGGCCAAAATGGCTCGCAAATGGGAGATTTTTTCCGTCTTATGTGACACATATTGTTATATTTTGGCCAATTCTAGTAATAAGTCGGCGCGCGTACGCAGATCACATAGGACGACATCGGTTCGATTCGAATGATATCCTAATTTACCCCCTAAGCAGCTTGTATGTTTTGTGTACATACCCATTATTTCCTTCGAATATCGAGAGATACTTGATGCAAAATAAATAGGAATACGATCACGATACAATGACCTTGTTAAGTTACTTACAGGAACATCAGCCTCCGATTCATTCTCAGTCATATTGACTTTGAAATCGCAGACGATATCCCCAGCTGACATCGTGAACTGTTGCAATCCAGGAGTCAGCACCCTGGTGTAGTGGGCCCTGAGAGAGGGGTCCGTGATGAGGGTCAGGCTGTCGTGGTCTTCCGGGTTATTGTAGATAGGACCAGGTTTGGGACCAGTCACCTGTTTAATAGCAAATATCACAAGCGATGTTTATAACAAGTTCAAGGAAACATTTTTTGACGACCTCCGTGGCCGAGTGGTTTGTACGCCGGGTTTCATGGCTGTCGCCGACTCGAGAGGTCCCGGGTTTGAATCCCGGTGGGGGCAGATGTTTGTGTGATGAATACGAGCATTTGTACTCCAGTCATGGATGTTTAATATGTATTTATATAAATATACTTATATATGTACAGTATATGTATTCTATCCGTTACCCTAGCATCCCATAACACAAGCCTTATAGTGCTTACTTTGGGGCTAGGCTAATTGGTGTGAGTGTCGGAAATATTTATTTCTTTATTATTTATTTATTTATTTAATTCTTAATGCACAATTGTACAATGGCGGATTTAATGCCGTAGGCATTCTCTACCAGTCAACCATAGGGAGCTGTGGAGAAAATAAGTGGTAGTAGGGTGTTGTATTTTTTTAAATAGAGTGTAAAACATGTTGAAAACAGAGGTGAATTTAATAATCCCTGCGCTAAATTATTTAATTTATTCTGCTTATTTTTACAAATTGACGCTCAAACTAATTTTCCGAGTAACTTCCTTGTAAATTGGATTTTAAAAGTAAACATCTTAGATTAAATCAAGTTATCATTGAGTTTTTCGCTACTAACCTGTCCTGGAGCTTTCGGTACAGTAGCAACGAGAAGTTTTGTAGTTGGCAAACCTGGCATGACGCTGACCAGAGCACCAGCTTTGCCGGAAAAAATGCCTGATCCTGCAATGCAATACAATTGCAAAATTGTGTAATTTCACTATAGAAAATTACCATTTAAACACATTTCGAGTAAAATATCCTAGTTTGTATTCCTCTGACGATGGATTAACTGGTTATAAAACGTGTGTTTATAAATTCATGTAACCGAATTTCTTAGTTCTGTTTATGTTCGTCTAAGGTCCACTTGCAGCGAATTTGCTAAACCTCGATTCAACTAAAACCAACTGTAACCCATAGTTAAATGACAAAACGAATGAAGTAAGTAACTACTAACTAAACCCTAAATATAAAAATACTAAATCTGACTGTTATGAAGTATGCTGATAAAATCATCATCATACCTGAACTTCCAAATCGGACGTTATTCGCACCTGCAGCAATAAAGTTGACATCCATGGCAAAAGCGTAACCTTCCTGGATCTGCACAGCTGGGAAAATACCGATAAGATGAACGGAAATATGTGCCATATCCGTTTGATAAAACAGGAAACAAAATAATTCTACGTGTCCAAATGTACGAAAACCAAGATTTGTTTTTTTACAGACATGCATGCTCAGATTACAGATTATTATGTAATAGGTTTGTATCCTTATATTTTTATACTTATAAAGTCCATGCAAAAGATACGACTCCATCTGATGTACCCCTGGGTACATCACCGACAAGATATAAAAAAAAATGCAAAGTGTAAAGCAACCAAAGTCCTTAGTGTCTACCAAAAGTGTCTTACCACACATATAATTCATTAAATGAATACACTAGGTGATTCCAATCCCAACTGAATTTATATTACACCGTCCATTTATGAATTATTGAACTGCCCCCCCACCCCCCAAGCCGTCGGCTGGCGATGCCCTTGTAATGAAAAATAGCGGTGTAATCCAAACATCCATCGTCTTCTTCCAAGCCATCGTCATCTTACTAATGCTAAATGCAAGATGCTTTCTCACGCTTCAAATAGTTTGCAAATAGTTTGACAAACAATTCAATTCAATTCAAATTATTTATTTCAGAACTAGGTTCCATACTGTTAGTTACATTTGATTTACTTATAAATATGTTAGTATAATAAAGAATTATAAAGAATTACATAAAATAATACAAAGAAAATATAACTAGAAAAAATTCCACGCGGACCAGGCAGCAGACGGGACTCGAACCCGCACCCTTCGCAATCCGGGCGAATGCACTGACCAATTATGCTACCGCGGCCCTCACGGACCGCGTCGAAATTCTTTCTAGCTATTCTTAAGCTGCAAGGCAGCGCCATCTCTTCGCATTATAGGTAAACCCACAATGTCAAATGAATACTTTTACAAGTATTAAACATTTGAAAGAAGAAATAGCAATTATAGTTATAATTTTTATTATTTTTAAAGCATGTAACTGCTTGATGTTTAAATCTAAAGAAAATATAACTAGAAAAAATTCCACGCGGACCAGGCAGCAGACGGGACTCGAACCCGCACCCTTCGCAATCCGGGCGAATGCACTGACCAATTATGCTACCGCGGCCCTCACGGACCGCGTCGAAATTCTTTCTAGCTATTCTTAAGCTGCAAGGCAGCGCCATCTCTTCGCATTATAGGTAAACCCACAATAATAATGCGAAGAGATGGCGCTGCCTTGCAGCTTAAGAATAGCTAGAAAGAATTTCGACGCGGTCCGTGAGGGCCGCGGTAGCATAATTGGTCAGTGCATTCGCCCGGATTGCGAAGGGTGCGGGTTCGAGTCCCGTCTGCTGCCTGGTCCGCGTGGAATTTTTTCTAGTTATATTTTCTTTAGATTTAAACATCAAGCAGTTACATGCTTTAAAAATAATAAAAATTATAACTATAATTGCTATTTCTTCTTTCAAATGTTTAATACTTGTAAAAGTATTCATTTGACATTGTGGGTTTACCTATAATGCGAAGAGATGGCGCTGCCTTGCAGCTTAAGAATAGCTAGAAAGAATTTCGACGCGGTCCGTGAGGGCCGCGGTAGCATAATTGGTCAGTGCATTCGCCCGGATTGCGAAGGGTGCGGGTTCGAGTCCCGTCTGCTGCCTGGTCCGCGTGGAATTTTTTCTAGTTATATTTTCTTTAGATTTAAACATCAAGCAGTTACATGCTTTAAAAATAATAAAAATTATAACTATAAAATAATACTTTTGAATATGGAGGTTCACCCAGTGTCGTAGCAGAGGAGTGTCCCACCGGTCATTAAATACTCTCAGGAGGCTGTTGGTACTAGAGCGGAGCCTAGCGAGCATGGAAGCGGACCTCTTTCTAATAATGGCATAAAAGTCGTCCGTATGCGCCTCCGCAAACATTTTTGACGCGCTGCAACCAGTGCTGCCATTTTAGCGCTGTGCGCGCTAGATCTAGCGCTTTTCTGGTGAGGTTAGCGCCTATTTCAAAATTTTAGCGCCTAGCGGATAATCTGGCGCTTTTTCGTTTATGTCATTGTAGCACTCTATTACCGATAACGTGTGGCCTCGAAAAACCCCTCCTTTCTTTTTTTTATAGCAGAACTACACTTATCTGTCATCTTGTGTTCTGACGTGTCAGAGAGGAACCGATAGTGTCATATATTTAGTATGGTTAGAACTATACTTGTGTGTCGCGATGTGTCGACACCGTTCTCACTCTAACCGTACTACTAAATGTATGAAACCGATATATCTGTGTGATGCGTCATAACACAACACGACAGATAAGTAGTAATATTGCTGCCATTAGTTCATGGTTTTGTTTTCATTCATTCATGTTTAAATTTTGTTGGAAGTTAAAAAGATTTCATGTAGTTTTACATTCTGCGACAGATTAGGATTGGGATATATGAAGAATATTGTAAGACACAAAATACATAAATGGCCATAATGACGCTGTATTTAAGCTATGGAAGATTATTTTTGAATTAAGATTATATTTATTTCGAAGTTTTGGTTGAATTTTGTCTCTTTTTTTTATTTATAAAAAAACGGAAATTAATTTAGTGCATAATCTAGCGCTTTTTTGAAGCGCAGTTTTCTTGAAATCTAGCGCTTTTTATATCATTTTAGCGCTCAATCGGATTTTTGATCTGGCAGCCCTGGCTGCAACTCCGCGCCAGTCTCAACAGTATCCTGAAGGCGTTGTTATATTGAATACGCAGGTCGCTGTATGCCCGCTGCGTATAGTTGGTCCAAAGACTGCAAGTATAGAATGATTGGCAGTAAGTCTTAAAAAGAGTGACCTTTACTGCATCCGTACACCGTGCAAATCTTCGGGCCAGCATATTACATCGCACAGCCAGCGACCTACGCTCTCTCTCTATGTCGATGCTATCCTTGAGATCATCAGTGACCCAATGACCCAAGTAGTTAAACTTGTTCACCCAGCTTAAAGAACTACCACAAAGTGACACTCCAGGGACATCCGAGTAATTAATGGAGTTCGATTTAAATATCATGAACTCACTTTTTTTCACATTGTACTTGAGCCCATGAGCCACCGCATAGGACACACAGATAGCTACAAGTCTTCTTAGACCACCAATCGATGGGCTCAGCAACACCACATCGTCTGCATAGTTTATATTGTTCAAGCAAACTCCATCAATATAACAACCTGTATGTGTACTGCTGAGCTCACCGATTAGGCGATTCACGTATAGGTTGAAAAGGCGAGGCGAGCTTAACCCCCCCTGCCTCACCCCGCATTCCATCTCATACACGTCAGTTAGAATTCCTGACCATCTCACTCTATTTTTCTGATAACAATACCAGTAGTGGAACAAGGACGTGACTTCAGGTGGTAGTGTTGTCTCCTTTTTTTGTCAATGACTATGTTTGAGGTTGAGAGTTTTTTTAATTCCTCTTTTTTTACCATTCTTGCACCCATTTGATGGCTTCTGCGAATATTGTTACAGGCGGATGGCTAGTTTTAATAACATTATTTTTTATGTAATTGGATAAACAAGCAGATGGTTCATCTAATAGCATGGGATCACTTGATGATTTTGGTGACACCTTTATGATGCAGACGTCCAAAAGTGTCACCCAGTGTAATATGTCTTTGAAATAAGTGCTCTTCTTTCAAAGATATTTCTAAATTTAAATTTACCACTCAGATAAGGCATCTCCGAGAACCACATCGTAGTGAAGATGACGTCGGTCACGTTGAGCTTGTCGACGACCTGCACAGCCGGCACCTGGAACTGCAGGTCGAAACAGATGTAATGTGCGAACTTCACGCCGAAGTCCGTTGTAAACACACCCAGGTCGGGCTTCAAGGCGGGGGTACGAGAGAACTCGCCAAATAAGTGGATCTTGCGGTACCTGAAGAACACAAACACTAAATTAGCTAAATAAAACTAGTTTTTACGGGTTAATGCACGAAACTTTATTTATTTATTGACGTTTCATTTGGACATTTTGCGTGAAAACCTAAGAAACAAATACGCTAAATTAGCTTTTGAGACTTGTAGGGGTTCAGTGGCATATTATGGAAATCAGGCAAATGTATGAATGACCGAAGAGAGGAAGGGCATAACGGATTTCCCGTTCGAATTGGAGCGCCTGTATTCCGGGGAAGCAAACTCCTCCTTACAGAAGACTGCGGTAAAATAAAGCTACCTTTGTATTTCTGTCGGTGAGTAAGGTTCCAGGGCTTCACGGGATAGGGGCTTCGATCAGGGCAGGCAGAGGTGCGAGTGATATTTATGGTATCGCAATCGTCTATAGGCTATGGTGGCCACTTACCATCAGGCAGTCTATACGATACGGTAAATTGTTGACCTCAGCTGCTGCATCTGCATTGTCATCGTCAGCACCCACTCATCCGTACGAAACGCATGCGAAAGAAGGTTATGGTCTAGTCACTCATAGTTATTCGGTCTATATTCAAGTCTGAGTTTCAGAAAGTGAAGAAAAGTAGAAGGCCAAGGGAAAATGATTTCTATAATGATTCGCATGGTCAAGTACCGGTATATAGAAAATTAATAAATTAAATCAAATTATTAAAAAAAAACAGAAGATTATAAATGTGTTTTTCCAATTTGATGATTGTTAGGTATATTTTTTATAATTTGACAAAAGAGCTACCTATCAATAACTGCTCCTTTCCTGTCGAAGACCACGTTGGTGTTGAAGAGGTAGACCTTCTCCTCAGGGCAGTACTCGTTTGGAGTGGTGGTGTTGCAATACATGACCTCTTCTATGTTTATAACCACATAGATGCTGTTCTCCCGCGCTGCTTTTGATATGTTCACGAGAACCTATAATAAGTATTACAAAGGCCAATTTCAACATAGTACTTAACAAGTGTACATTTAAGGTTTTTTTTACCAAAGACGAGAAATACATAGCCGTTTGCTCCATTTTAATATAACTATACACCGCGAATTTTGAGATACCTAGAGACTTTGCCAGCTTTCAAACAAAGATTTAGGTTATATTACCGAAAAAAAATCTTTAACTATTTTTATTCCGAAAAATGTCTGTATGTTATCTCACAATTGTGCAATTTTGAAACCTTAACAATATTAATTGTTGTAAATTGATTAAAATAAAACTGCTATAAGGATCTAGGTAATTTAATCGGATCTGAATTTCATAGGCACCTATGTTATTTACAAATTTGCACCGTTTTAGGATAATTATTTTGAAAACGATAAAAATCAATATTTTCAATCAATAATAAAGTTTTTATTATTGCGCGCAAATAAAAGAATAAGACAATTTATAAATATTGTTATAAAGCCTCAAACACAAGGAATAACTTATGAAAAATAGTAACAAAAATGGCCTCTTTTAGCATTACCTAGCGACATACGAGTATATAAGATATAGCTTACACTGGAGGCCATGAAAGAAAATTTAAAAAATACTTAATATTTTTTTAATTAAAATTTTCATTTAGAGTTCTTTATAAAACGTAATTTATTTAATTCCAATGGGAGCATCGCGTCGAACCACCTTGACTGAATCTTTTGGACGATTTACACTGCGGTAAGTACAGAGGCGAGTAGAAATTACATTGCGGGTGGCGCATTCGACGCTGACTGAAATTAAATGAAATGAAAAGTCATTTATTCAGTCTAGGCTGTTATAAGCACTCGTGAAGGTCAAGAAGCTACGCCACCGCGCGACTCACAAACTAAACCGCTGTCCGCAATGTAATCCCAACTTACTACTACTTACCGAAGTGTAAATTGGGCATTAAGGTTCGTTGGTTCACAGGCATTTCGTAGCGAGCGTCAGCGGCGCCGCGACAAAGCGTCAAATAGAATTTATATGCAAATGTCAATGACGGTCAAACTAGCTTTTACCCAGAAGGGTATCTACTGTGATTTTAATCTTACTTAATAATAATATCGTAGATAGGAAAAAAATATAGTTAACTAAGAGCAATTTCCGTAATATTTCTGTTAAGAAAAAGATTATATTTCTGCATTGTAATCAATGATATTTAAAAATTCCGAGGCCGCTACAAACTACTCGAGTAAATTAGGAGATAATATTCTATTTTCTTTACTTTATTTGTTTGGATTATTTTCCCAGGCAGTAGATTTACGCGGCGAGGCTGAAAACAGTAGTGTGGAAATACAAAATGTTATTATTTTTTATTTAGAAAAAGCAATTTTGTTATTTTTATTTTATGAAAGGCCTATAAGGATATTTTTGTTATAAGGAAAAAATAATTATTTTTGTTACTGATTGACAACGTTATACTTTGTTCTCGAATTTACTGGGTCATTTTTAATTAGTAAAAACATTTTATCTCATCAATAACAATATATAATTTGTTCTCGAATCTACTTAGAGTGCTGTATATGATTTGTGCTAGTGTCCCAATTCCGAAATGAGCACCAGCTTGGAAGTTCATATGAACACTTATGAAAAACAAAATTACCTCATGGTACAAATCCTCGTTCAATGCTGGAATCGGATGTTCCTTCAGAGTGCCGTTTGTTGCCACTTCGATCGGATCCCGGAATCTATTCAGTGTCATTTCTGGAAACACCACGATGTCCGCATCCTGTAAACAGGAACGTATATTTTTTGTGTACCATGTTAACAAACAACAATTTGTTACCCTGGTATAGGATCAAGATACTAATAGTAAGCAGCCAACAGAGCCTGTAGAGTAGACATTTGCGATATCAGAGAGTTCGTTCTTATAATGTTTAAAGGGTGACAAACGAGCATATAGCCCGCCTCATGGTCAGCGGCCGCCATAGCATATTATCCCTTGGTTCCGAACCTAGGGGTAATTCCCCCTTGGGAGTAAATAAGCTATACTTCGGGGGTAACAAAGAACCTCATTTAATCTTAAGAAAATGCAGTACACCGCGCAGTAACGCACGTGGCATGCGCTTTTTCTTGATAGCGAGACCGCGGGGTGCTGAGAGTGGGAGGCGGGGCGAGATTTTCGCCTGATGATGACATTATTAGAGACGAAGATGTAGCGGCTAATTTGGAATTCTTGGACTGCGCGAGAGTATTTTTTTTATTTATTTATTTATGGACCATCAACACAGCTATATTAATACAATAGTAGATTGTTAACCGAGGGTGGAAAGAATCAATTCCCGAGGTATTTAGACGCCCGAGCGCAGCGAGGGCGGCTATAGTCCGAGTAGGAATTGATTCTTTTACCCGAGTTAAACACTGTACTTTTCATTTCGAATATGAGGAAAATAAAACTAGTTGTTTAACAAAAATATTTATTCATAAATAGTTATATATATACCATAAAATTAGAAGTAGCTATTTAAAATTAATTATCATATTAGGACAATTACTGAAATTAAAAGTAACATTCTTGTTTGAAACTATGCTGTTTGATATAATATTACAAATTTGGCTGTTTTGGATATCTGTAAAAGTAGGACACTCTGTTATTTCATCAAACGATGGATTCCATGGCGGATACTCCCTGGAAGTTGTCTGCTGAGGCGAATTGTAGGAGCCTGTAGTTTGCTAGACAGTCCATTAAAATATGTAAGAAATACACTTTCGGAAAACGATTTTATATTCTTCTCTGCTCACCACTTTATAAAATCATTGTATGTATTTATATATCTCTTTTTTAACATTTCTGGCAAAATATTCTCTATAACACAATTTGCCTCGTCTTTAATTGAATCCGGTGTCAACATTTCTGAATTGCTTGAACTCATTTTTAATATTCAAAGTTGGATTGCTCTGTTTTACTTAAAAGATTATTATTACTATTTTTTTATTCCATCACATAACAGATGCATAACAGTTTAGTATCCCGCCAATTTATGTCGACTTTTTAAATTTAAATATGGAACAGCGTAATTGTTGCGGCTTATTCCGCTCAAAGAAGTTTGTGCTAAGTTCACACTGGCTGTTTAGAAACTCACATGGCGGCAGCATTTTTTTTTACAAAAAACTTCACGCCTGACAGTAGTTCTATTTTTAAAGTTCATTCCGGCCCTTAGGCGGGAAGTAATTTGTATGAGTTTTTCCCTCTCTAGAGAGGGAAGCAGCATTTTCCACCCAACAAACAGATCAAAACAACACCACTTTCCGAGAATGAGAAATGAAATAGTAGATTGTTAACCGAGGGTGGAAAGAATCAATTCCCAAGGTATTTAGACGCCCGAGCGCTGCGAGGGCGGCTATAGTCCGAGCAGGAATTGATTCTTTTACCCGAGTTAAACACTGTACTTTTCATTTCGAATATGAGGAAAATAAAACTAGTTGTTTAACAAAAATATTTATTCATAAATAGTTATATATATACCATAAAATTAGAAGTAGCTATTTAAAATTAATTATCATATTAGGACAATTACTGAAATTAAAAGTAACATTCTTGTTTGAAACTATGCTGTTTGATATATTATTACAAATTTGGCTGTTTTGGATATCTGTAAAAGTAGGACACTGTTATTTCATCAAACGATGGATTCCATGGCGGATACTCCCTGGAAGTTGTCTGCTGAGGCGAATTGTAGGAGCCTGTAGATTGCTAGACAGTCCATTAAAATATGTAAGAAATACACTTTCGGAAAACGATTTTATATTCTTCTCTGCTCACCACTTTATAAAATCATTGTATGTATTTATATATCTCTTTTTTAACATTTCTGGTAAAATATTCTCTATAACACAATTTGCCTCGTCTTTAATTGAATCCGGGGTCAACATTTCTGAATCGCTTGAACTCATTTTTAATATTCAAAGTTGGATTGCTCTGTTTTACTTAAAAGATTATTATTATTATTTTTTTATTCCATCACATAACAGATGCATAACAGTTTAGTATCCCGCCAATTTATGTCGACTTTTTAAATTTAAATATGGAACAGCGTAATTGTTGCGGCTTATTCCGCTCAAAGAAGTTTGTGCTAAGTTCACACTGGCTGTTTAGAAACTCACATGGCGGCAGCATTTTTTTTTACAAAAAACTTCACGCCTGACAGTAGTTCTATTTTTAAAGTTCATTCCGGCCCTTAGGCGGGAAGTAATTTGTATGAGTTTTTCCCTCTCTAGAGAGGGAAGCAGCATTTTCCACCCAACAAACAGATCAAAACAACACCACTTTCCGAGAATGAGAAATGAAATAGTAGATTGTTAACCGAGGGTGGAAAGAATCAATTCCCGAGGTATTTAGACGCCCAAGCGCTGCGAGGGCGGCTATAGTCCGAGTAGGAATTGATTCTTTTACCCGAGTTAAACACTGTACTTTTCATTTCGAATATGAGGAAAATAAAACTAGTTGTTTAACAAAAATATTTATTCATAAATAGTTATATATATACCATAAAATTAGAAGTAGCTATTTAAAATTAATTATCATATTAGGACAATTACTGAAATTAAAAGTAACATTCTTGTTTGAAACTATGCTGTTTGATATAATATTACAAATTTGGCTGTTTTGGATATCTGTAAAAGTAGGACACTCTGTTATTTCATCAAACGATGGATTCCATGGCGGATACTCCCTGGAAGTTGTCTGCTGAGGCGAATTGTAGGAGCCTGTAGTTTGCTAGACAGTCCATTAAAATATGTAAGAAATACACTTTCGGAAAACGATTTTATATTCTTCTCTGCTCACCACTTTATAAAATCATTGTATGTATTTATATATCTCTTTTTTAACATTTCTGGCAAAATATTCTCTATAACACAATTTGCCTCGTCTTTAATTGAATCCGGTGTCAACATTTCTGAATTGCTTGAACTCATTTTTAATATTCAAAGTTGGATTGCTCTGTTTTACTTAAAAGATTATTATTACTATTTTTTTATTCCATCACATAACAGATGCATAACAGTTTAGTATCCCGCCAATTTATGTCGACTTTTTAAATTTAAATATGGAACAGCGTAATTGTTGCGGCTTATTCCGCTCAAAGAAGTTTGTGCTAAGTTCACACTGGCTGTTTAGAAACTCACATGGCGGCAGCATTTTTTTTTTACAAAAAACTTCACGCCTGACAGTAGTTCTATTTTTAAAGTTCATTCCGGCCCTTAGGCGGGAAGTAATTTGTATGAGTTTTTCCCTCTCTAGAGAGGGAAGCAGCATTTTCCACCCAACAAACAGATCAAAACAACACCACTTTCCGAGAATGAGAAATGAAATAGTAGATTGTTAACCGAGGGTGGAAAGAATCAATTCCCGAGGTATTTAGACGCCCGAGCGCTGCGAGGGCGGCTATAGTCCGAGTAGGAATTGATTCTTTTACCCGAGTTAAACACTGTACTTTTCATTTCGAATATGAGGAAAATAAAACTAGTTGTTTAACAAAAATATTTATTCATAAATAGTTATATATATACCATAAAATTAGAAGTAGCTATTTAAAATTAATTATCATATTAGGACAATTACTGAAATTAAAAGTAACATTCTTGTTTGAAACTATGCTGTTTGATATATTATTACAAATTTGGCTGTTTTGGATATCTGTAAAAGTAGGACACTGTTATTTCATCAAACGATGGATTCCATGGCGGATACTCCCTGGAAGTTGTCTGCTGAGGCGAATTGTAGGAGCCTGTAGATTGCTAGACAGTCCATTAAAATATGTAAGAAATACACTTTCGGAAAACGATTTTATATTCTTCTCTGCTCACCACTTTATAAAATCATTGTATGTATTTATATATCTCTTTTTTAACATTTCTGGTAAAATATTCTCTATAACACAATTTGCCTCGTCTTTAATTGAATCCGGGGTCAACATTTCTGAATCGCTTGAACTCATTTTTAATATTCAAAGTTGGATTGCTCTGTTTTACTTAAAAGATTATTATTATTATTTTTTTATTCCATCACATAACAGATGCATAACAGTTTAGTATCCCGCCAATTTATGTCGACTTTTTAAATTTAAATATGGAACAGCGTAATTGTTGCGGCTTATTCCGCTCAAAGAAGTTTGTGCTAAGTTCACACTGGCTGTTTAGAAACTCACATGGCGGCAGCATTTTTTTTTACAAAAAACTTCACGCCTGACAGTAGTTCTATTTTTAAAGTTCATTCCGGCCCTTAGGCGGGAAGTAATTTGTATGAGTTTTTCCCTCTCTAGAGAGGGAAGCAGCATTTTCCACCCAACAAGCAGATCAAAACAACACCACTTTCCGAGAATGAGAAATGAAAACAAACTTACACATATGCTTAAGTATAATCCCCTACCCCGTGGAGCCCTGGAACCTTACTCACCGACAGAAACACAACACTATCAAAAGGTATTGTCATTTTACTGTGATCTACTGTAAGGTCTAGGTAACTTCCCCAGACGGGGAATTTAATTCGAGCAGAAAAACCGGTATGCTCTAAGTGCCTCTCTTTTCTTTTGTATTTCTCTGCAGACTGCCAAAATCGATCGATAGTTACTTATCAACTACTCATTGGAAGCGTGTAACACATATTTTAGTATCCCAGCATCTTCAACATCATAAGCGTTGATTCATCGGGCAGGGCGGTTGACAATTTTAATTAAGGAAAACAGCAATTTTTCTAACCTTGCTAGCGGCCTCCTCTATGTATTGAAGGTAATTCCGTAAGTTGGTAGCTGTGTCTAGAGCGGGACTGTACTCCAGGACCGCTGCCACGTAGCTGTCTGACGAAGCTGTAGAAACCTATGGACCAGAAAACGTAATAGTTCTTTAGAGACCAAATCTTCAATGACTGTGGGCAATACTGTGGGTATATTTCTGTAACCAAGAAACATAGCAGCCTGTAGTTTTTTTTTGTACAATTCAGCTTTATCTCCAACTAGGACAAATGATATTTTTGTAATAATTGCAGTCTAGGTACATAATAAAAATGTTCTTCTGATATATACGACGCGTACGTTTGCAATTTTTATTTTAGCTCTTTTTTATGTGTTCTCTTCCTTTCACTTTTTACGATTTTCTAATGCGTTAGCCCCGGTCTAATAAGCTACAGAGCATTTTGCAAACTTTGTCCGTTTTATGTACGCATACCAAAAATATTTTTTTAATGAAACTACCCAAAAACCATACCCAGTCTTATACAAAAAAAAACTAAGACCCACTTGCACCAAACTTTTTAATTCAAGCTAAGATACCTTGCGGGTTCGGGAAAGTGTCAAATATGACGTGCATGCACCATGAAAAAGGTAACTATGGCCGCACTTCACTCGATTTCAAGGAGCTCGATGCAATCGCAATTGGTAAGCGCATTCGGCTGCGATCGTTAAAGTTGCGCAGCTTCCATAGTGGTCGGTCATTGGATAGGTGACTAAAGAATTACTATGTCGAGCCCCTCCGTGCTTGGGAAGGCACGTTAAGCTGTTGGTCCCGGCTGCATCTGCAGTCTTTAGCATCCACTAACCCGCACTGGGTTTGCGTGGTTGGTCATATCTCCCTATTCCATCCGTAGGCAAGTCCTGTGCCCCAGTGGGGACATCAATAGCCTGATGATGATGATGACACTTCACTCAGCTCACTACTGTTACTAGTTTCTATTTAATTAAACCATTTTACGCTTTGCTTAGCCGAATTAATAACTACTAACACAAAGCTAGTTTCAGGCGCGGTCGCATCCTGAAATTTCGCAGTGTGGGCCCGAAACTTAAAATTTGCCTCTCCCCCCTTAGAATTAGTAGATATTTCCCCTCTAATGTCGCACGGCTTATAGGAAGAGAAGTTGCCAGTATTTTCAGCAGTATATATATTTGGGTAGAGATCATCATGCGATGTTGGGATTGGGACCCCAGTGACTCGCTTATTAGTCCTTGCTAGTTCTGAGTGTCACGCCTATTAGATATTTGTAGTTGAGTTGCATGGCAAAGCTTCAAACTTGGCATTTGACTCCAATAGTACGACCAATGGCCTACTCTTATAATTGGAATAGGTATACTTATCAAACCCTCAGATTATATAAATAAGATTAATTCGGTTTGAGATTGAGCGATATTTTGAATATTTTCGAGTTGAATTCAAAGTTCTGTGATAAAACTATCCTAATTATTTATATTATAACTATGTTAATAAAATATTGACAATAATAATGACACAAAACCGGCAGAACGGATTTAGATGAAATTTGGTATACATATAGTTTATTACCTGGATTTTTTCTTTATGATACTTTATATCCCGGAAAAATATTAGGTTCCTGTGAGATTCACGAAAAACTACATGTCAGGCGAAAACTAGTGTAAAATTATTTATAACACAAAAAATATGTAATAATAAAAAAAAGCTTGAGAGTAAAGTTTTGCTTCTAAATAACACAAATGTTAACATCTCATTTTTCTTCCGTCAAGAAGTTGAATCTTGCTTTCAAAGCTTTTTTTTATAATTTTCATTTGTTAAAGTTTTCGTATCCAACACTTACTTGTAACGTTACTTTTATTAAACATGGCAATAATAATAAAAAATTAATGCAAGACCCCATTTTTCTCAGCACCTAAATGGTAATATTATTATTGTCACTATTTACAATCACTAGAAACTACAAACTGTCAGATACATTCAAACACAACCTGGCACACGACACCACCACTCGGCGGTAAGAGCAGATAACACTATTACTGTGCAATAAGTATATTTATATAACTACATATAATACAGTAATATAATAGGTGTTCGCTTATCTGTGTCTCAGCGTAAATAAAGGCATTTATCTAAGTAATCCTCTTTTCGCGTCGATTGATTGCATTACAATTTGTAATTGATAATTTTTAATCACCTGAGAGTGAAAAAGATTAAAGAAGAATGAATACATATAAAGCTTAATATAATTTTGTAGGTAATTTTGTAACTATCATCGCCAGAATAATTTTAGTAATCAAGTACGTAGTTTTGTTTTGTATTTCTGAAAGAGTTTTTACCGAATATACATAAAATACTGAATGTATAAACTGAAAATGTCAAATAAAAACAGTCATATGTAGGTACATATAATTTACATGACAACAATTTTATCAGCATTTTGCTTTTATCACAGCTTAGCGAACTTGATAAAAAGATATAGAGTCATCTTTTTATCAAATCTAATCTGTCATGAATGAATTGTGTTCGCAATATTTGCATTAATCACTATTTGCAATCTTTTAAAAATCCCTTTGCTTTTTCCTATATTAATTCTTAGTTACCTTTAAAACTATATGGCAACAAGTCATAGATAGGGTAGGTGCGCCTTGTAAGACCCCCTAACCAACCCAATGTCTAGAATAGTGTAAACATACAACAGAGGGGTGTAAAAGTTGCTACTATTTATTGCAATCTAAAGATAATTTTACTAGAAAAATCCACTCGGCCCAAGTATCAGATGGATTCGAACCCGTATCTTCTGCTATCCGGGGTCGCGTCTTAGGTACTACATTTGAGGAGCTAGCGAACAAAACGGTATAATTTCATAAAATTAAATTTTACAGGAGCAGTAAAAAACTGAATGACATACCTACAGTGAGCTTTTGGTGTGGTTTTTAATTTATTAATTTTAACACTGTTTGGCGGTTTTGATTGAAAATGAGTTGAGATTCAAATTCACGGGCCCGAAACCTCATAAAAAAAGTAAAAAAAAAATGTATTTTGACCAGATGCGTAATTATACTGTTTTGTTCGCCAGCTCTTCATTTGTATTTGCTCCAATTAAGATCGTAGCAGGCATATCAACTCGGAAAGGTATCGTCACCGTTTCAACTCGAGCCGTTCATCAGTATTTGTATGAAACTAGCTCCCTACTTAGGGCTGCCATCCGTCCGGGTTTCCCCAGATTTGTCCTAGTTTACAGGGCGTCCGGGGAGCGTCCGGCCGGGGTTTCATTTGTGGTCCGGGTTTATAATTTTTCTGTTTTTGATCGCCAATTGATCCGTCAATATGTCTTTGAAATAAATAAATCTATTCTTACACTGTAACCGTAAATGCTGACTTCCTACAATGATCAGTACCCCTAGCACTAACCAATATCGAATTCGTATCGTTTGCGAACACGAAATGTCATTGTCAAATGTGTACTGATTCTTAGTTCTCGTTACGTCCGTTATGGTGCTGCTGATCAAGTTTTCATACAAAATTTGACAATGACATTTCGGACTCGCAAACTATTCGAATTCGATAATTTTTACACTGGTCGGTCAAATATCCCTTGGATGGAAGTAGAAGGGTGTAAAGACAGACTTGTGTCCGAGATTGAGATGTTACTGGATCAAGTCTCAAATTGGAGCCAACAAAATTTGATTGGATTAACCCAACAAAGACACATGTGTGTGTGAAAAAGCTTGGGTGCTCATAGATACAGTAAGTACCTCAAGCCTAAATATCGGGTGTCATTATACAAAGTACTGGTCCTCTGGGCTGGAGTACCCCAATACCAGCTCCTTCCTCTTGACCGGATGCAAAAGTGGGCAGTTTGACTTATCGATGATCCTGAGCTCACTCACGCGTTACAACCCCTTAACTACGCAGACGGTACAACACGCACAAGGACGCAACTCCTTGTACGTGTTGTACCGTCTATACAATGGAGAGTGTTCCGAGGAATTATTCAACCGGATGCCAGTGGCCAAGCTTCTTCACAGCATCACACACCGCAGAGAAGTTTCACGCCCACTATCTGGACGCCTGGCGTTCGAGCACCATGTGTTCCTTTCTTTTGCGTACCAGCAAGATCTGGAACGAACATCCCGGTGGGGGCAGATGTTTGTGTGATGAATATGAGCATTTGTACTCCAGTCGTGGATGTTTAATATGTATATATAAATATACGTATGTATGTATAGTATATGTATTCTATCCGTTACCCTAGCATCCCATAACACAAGCCTTACAGTGCTTACTTTGGCTAGGCTAATTGCTGTGAGTGTTGGAAATATTTATTATTATTATTTGTGACATTTTTAACTGCTTTTTTATTGGTCCGGTCCTTTTTTTGGGCTCCAAAATCCGGGGTGATGAGAGAGAGATGGCAGCCCTATCCCTACTGCATTGTACACTAATTAGAATCGTAATGTAAGCGCCTCGCCTCGGGACAAACTCATGTATCTTTGTGAGGCGATTACGTTACGATACCGATAGGTGTGCGTTGCAATACAATAATTATAGGTAGTTTTATACAACGAATACTCAACGGCTCGAGTTGATTCTGTGATGATCCCTTTCCGAGTTGATATGTCTGCTTCGACCATTATACTACCGCGTTTATTGCAATCATCATATTCATCATATTTTTATCGTAAAACGTTTATTATGTATTCTGATAAAAATAATGTAACTGCAGACAGTATCAAAATAATCTGACGAAATTGGATACTTCATGGCCCTAATCCCCGAGTATGTTCCGTAAGATTTTCTTAAAATTCTCTAATTCCATGAGACAATGCTGAATGAAACTACCAACGATAAGGTTTATACCAAAATGCCTAATGATCTTTTAAAAAATGTAGAGAAAACTTGGTAGTCTAGTGTAGTCGTGACGCAATTGTTACGATAAGATTAAAATAAACCTACACATTTTCCATTGACTACACAGACGGTAGGTACAAATTTGATAAGAAGAATTTGTCAAATATAAATAACAATACTTACATATATACTTTTTACAACATAAAAATAACAATACCTATAAATGAAAAAAAAAGGTATTTAAAATTAGTTTCTGGTGAGAAAAGAAACTAACATCTTTGATTACAGTTCTTTCATATTCAAATCAAAGATATGTCAATTTATCAACCAAAAAAGTATTCCATAATAACCAATCCTCATTTAAATATAAGCTTATTGGACTGGATTTGGACTCTTAAGTAACTGTCTATAAAGAGCTTTCTTTTAAGAAAACAGCTGATCTGATAAAGAAAAAAATAAGCGTGCTCTGACAGGTGAGTTTTGAACAATTTACGGACCTAAATCCAAAAATAAACATTAAAATCTATACTAATATTATAAAGCTGCAGAGTTTGTTTGTTTGTTTGTTTGAACGCGCTAATTTCTGGAACTACTGGTCCGATTTGAATGATTCTTTCAGTGTTGGGTAGTCCATTTATCGAGAAAGGCTATAGGCTATTTTTTTTTCAAAATTTGGGATCCGTAATAAAATTTGTTATTTTGTAACACAAGGTGTAAAATCGAAAACCTATTTTTGCGTGCGCTGCAAAAACTATTGACAATAGAACAAAATGATGTAGGTACTACGGGTTTGTAGATCCCATTAAGACCTACAAAAAAGTCCGTGAGAACATATATCTAGCTATCATGGTTTAATCACAATAACCGATTTTGTGTTCAAAATAATTATTAAATCGTCTGAAGAAAAAAAAACTACGTTAAATATGTATCGTAATATTAATAAAAACACAAACAACCCTTAATTTTCACCCCTCTACCACTTATATTTTTATGGCGATACGAAGTACTCTGGGTCAGCTAGTAATAAATAAAATGTTTTTATTGCTTTTTAATTATAAGAACTAAAAACTTAAAAATAATTTAAGTCTGATAAGAAATATACCATTTTATAGGTACATTATATCCCTTTTTAAGGTTCCGTAGTCCTGACAAGGAGCAGTGGCGTAGCATGGGGGGGGGGCGGGGGGTGCGGTCCGCACCGGGCGGCACTTTGCCGGGGGCGGCGCTGCGGAGGTGGCAGATAGAGAAAAAAAATTAAAATATAAAAAAAAAGTTAATTTCTTTCAGTTTTTTTTCGTCATTTTTTTGTTGTTGTTACCAAATACCCAGGTACCTATGCAGGTTCTATGCATGGGTGATGCAAGCGCAAGGTTTCTCAATAACTATTATTTAGGAAACTTATTTCGTTTCAAGTTTCAATGTTATTTTAAATAAATGTCTCCTTACGCATTCTTTGTACTTCACCGTAGCTAAAGCTAAAAGCTACTGGTAGAAAAACAGCAAAGTTACGCGTTACGCGTACATTGTTGCAACACGAATTACACCTTGGAGGCAATCGACAGCATTTTTTTATTACAGAAAATAATGATTTAACGATTACCGATGACCGTTTCATAGGATATATTCACAAAGTTAGCGAGTAAAAAGATTTACATTTTTGATGTCTTATGTCATTTTTGATGTCATTGTCATAGTCTACCTTCTACTCTATGTCAAAAAATGTTAATTTCACTCTTAGGTTAGTGTTATTCAATAAAAGTACTCTTTTTACCATGCCTCAATTTTTTTATAATGGATTGCAAAAATAAGAGGGCGGCAAATTTGGAATCCGCACCGGGTGCTAGTGACCTATGCTACGCCACTGACAAGGAGCCCTTATAGTTTCGTCATGTCCGTCTGACCGTCCCCGGTTTTGCTTGGAGGCTATTAGCATTAGAGAGCTGTAATTTGGTGGAGATATGTATATGTGTCGGTCTCGCCGACAAAATGGTAGAATAAAATTTTAAAATTTTATTCTATGTGAGTATGAAAAAATCTAAAAAAAGAACTATTTAAAAACCACATTAAAATATCATAAGATCCACAACGCTACCGCGAGTACCAACGGCAATGGCTTCTGGGCTGCGCTAACGTTACGTTTTTATAAAAAGCCAAAAGATCGGCGGTTATACCCC